AAAAATTAATTAATTTTAAACGCGTCCATTTATTATTTTCTTTTTTAAATCAAAGCAACAACAACGACAATTTCATCCCTACATTTAATCATCATCATCATCATCAAACAAACAACAAACGAGAAAATGAAATAAAAAAAAAGAAAAAGAGTGAAACGTGACGATAACTATTTTTTTTTTCTCACATAATTTTATTAAAACAATTCGAATTAACAATCGTGTCAGGTAACAAACAATTGTTATTAACAATTTTTTTCTTTTTCAAACACTTTCCTTTGACTTAATAACAATTAACAAAAAAAAAATTATTATTATTATTATTATTATTATTATTATTATTACTATTTTCAAAATGGTAGAAGTTGAAATTACATATATTTTCATTTATTAACCGTTACGAGATTTTTTTTTTTTAAAAAATATACCGGAAACGAAACGAGAGCGAATTTTTCTTTTTCCGTTCGTTTTTTTTTTAACGTGGCAATAGACCCTCGAGCGTTGTTATATTTTCCCTATATCATCTCTCATATATTCCCTTTAACATATCCGCCATTTTTTTCTCCTTCATTTGCTTCAGAAAATAAAAGTCTAACGGTACTAATGTTTTTTTTTTCAGACGACCCGAAGTTAAACTAAAATCGAAACGAGTTTTTTTTTTTTTTTACTTTTATTTTTTAATTTAACGTAAAACTGGAATCGTATCATCGTAAAAATAAATAAAATACAAACGTTAGTTTTTTTTACATTCCATAGAAAAATTCTAAAAAATACAAATCGATCAATCGATCGATCGATCGATCGATGGATCGATAATAAATAAAAAATTCAAATATAAATTTATGCAAGTTACGACAAAAAACGTTCCAAGTTTTTATTTTTTTTTTTATTCGTCCGTTTTGATATAAACAACAAAAACAACCGACAACTGATAAAAAAAAAACTTAACGAGTTGGTTGTAGTTGTCGTTTGTACGAAAAAATCCCCGAATATCCCGTAGGAAAAAATATCCCGCAAAAAAAAAAAAAACGAAAAAAATTTCTTTCTTAACTTTTTTTTCCTTTTCTTTTTTATAATTTCTTTTTATTTAAATAAATTTTTTTTTTTTCGACTCTTTCCGACATTTTGTCACTAAAAATTGAAAAATACAAAATGGAGTCCGCCGAAATAATCGATCTGATATCGATTTTCAAACAAACACAAACACACGCGCGCGACACACACGCGAATCCTCCCCCATTAACACGTCGCGATCGTATTTATCAAAATGACGTCACAAATATAAACATTTTCAATAAAAATTTAAAAACGTAATTAAATATAATTACCCCCTCCCCTCCCCCTCACCTTTTTCTCTTTTAAATGAACCCAATATTAATAATAATAATAAATTTTCGCACGCTAATAAATAATTTTTTTTTTTTAAAAAACCGATCGAAAGTTTTTCCCCATAAGCTAAACATTTTCTAACAGTACCAGTCGACTTATTTACTCATCCTATAAATAAATAAATAATTAATTAATTAATTAATTAATATTATTAATTAATAAGTATGTAAAAATTCAACAATTATTAATCGGGTTAATTAATAACAACAACAAAAAAAAGAAATTTTTTTTTTTTTTTTATTTAAAAAACTTACAAAGTCTGATTAATATGGGGGCTCTTTATTACCTTATCAAAAATAATAAATTTTATATATTTAAAAATAGGATTTTGTTTCAAATAAAAAAAAAAAAAAAAAAAAATTATTTACCGTGAAAGTAAAAACAACAACAACAACAACAAACGGACGAGTCAATAAAAAAAACTTTTTTTTTTTTTTTAACGTTCGCATTAAGAATCCGGTTGTGGAAGTGTAACGAGGCATTAATCACACACATAAAAAAAAAACGAACCATTCGTTTCATTATTATTATTATTATTTACCCTAATTTTTGGAAAAACCTTTTGTGAGGAGAGGTGGGGAGGAGGGAGGAGAGGAAACCGTCCGAACAAACGAATAAACGTTATGTGAATGAGACGAACAAACATCCTATAAATGTTTTTATAATTAAATTTTCCATTTCCGAACCGCTGTAAATTATCATTATTATCATCATCATTATTATTATCGCGGTGATAATAATAATCGATCGATTTGATATAATTTTGAGTGAGAGAGAGAGAGAGAGAAACATTTTCGAATTGTTATGAACCTGTTCGAATGATTTTTTTTTCGTATTTTGTCTCCAAGTGGGAGGGGGTGGAATGAAGGGTAGTTTTCAAACAATACATTCTACTCATCGTTCCGCCATTTCCCCCCCTCCCCTCCCCACATCGTTAATTCATCGACCGGTGTCCATTTTGTTTTTTTTTTTTTTTTTTGGAATTTTTTTTTTTAATTACGAGTTAAGTGGGCCGTGATGTGTGAAAGTTGAAGGTCTGGACTTTAATTTTATTCTGATTTTACAAAAAAATCTAAACACGAGGAGTTTTATAATAAATTTCATCCCTAAACAAACCCCTACGACACCTCCGCACCCCTTCCACCCCCCACAAAAAAAAGAAAAAAAATATTAAAAAAAAAAAGAACTTACGATTCGTACATATCTCAAATTGTTTTTTCCATTTCATTTCCCGACATTTTTAATTATATCCTTATTATTATTATTATTTTCTTTTAATCCATTTGATCACGTGTTCACAACGATAATAATAATAAAAGTAACAAAAACAAACACGTTAAAAACGAAAAAAAAAACCGAAAAAATAAAAAGAGGGTGAAAAAAAATCTTTTTTTTTTTAACTCGAAATTTTTTTTTGTTTTTTTTTTAGTTACACGAACTATAACGAAACAATTAAAAAATAATAATAATTAAAAATAAAAATGTCGTTAATAAACTATTTAATAATAAATAAATAAATAAATAAAAATTTTTAACGGATTGAAAAAAAAAAAAGAAAAAATTGTTGCACAGAATAAAACAACCGAAACACGATCAAACACGTCTCATGTTAAACTGAATATAATTCTACGGCCACGAACAAGCACCTGGCGGACGTAATCAATGGTACATACCATATTTCTCCCCTCCCCTTCCCTCCCCTCTCCCTCTCTCTTCAAACCAACAAATTCTGTTATAAAATAATAATAATAATAAACAACCTAACATCCGTCGTTAAACGAACCTTCTTAATTTATTTTTTTTAAAAAAAGGCACATGTACTTCTCTCTCTCTCTCTAAAAGAAAATCATTATTATCATTTGCATTCGTGATACTTAAATACGAGTTTTTTTTAGGTGGGGGAAAGGGGGAGGAGGGAACGATTATAATTTAACAATTAGTAAGTAATACGTCCTTTCCCTTAGAAAGTTTTTTGAAAAAAAATTTGCGACGATGGGACGACAAATCGTTTTAAACAAGTTTTTAAAAAATCACTTTTAAAAATATTTTATTAATTATAATAAATTAAAAATTTTCACTTTTCCCCCTCTCCTCCTTCCCGCCGCTCCGCCCCTCGAAAAACGTTTTTAAAACGTAAACAATTAATTTCGTTCGATTTTGTACGACGACGCCATTTTTTTTTTTATCGTTTAAATATGTCGTCGTTATAATGTTGGTAACCGTTAAATTTATTTAAAAAAATATAATTAAATAGATTGTTCTCTCTGTTTAAAAAATAATAATTTGAAACAAAAAAAAAAATGCAAAATGTTTAAATTTAAATTTTTGTTTTGTAAAAAAAAAAAAAAGAACCGTTAAAATAGTTTTTAAAAAAATTGATTCGAACGTGTGAGTTCAAATGTTTAATAGGTAAAAAATCGATAATGGCGGCGTAAATGTTTGTCGTACACGTACGATAATCAAGTGATATAAACGGACGAAATTCTAACGTTTTTTTATTATTTTTTTTTCTATTTTTTATAATCCATTCATTCATTTGACCTTTTATCAATTCTTATCACCTCTCGGATAATTTAAAAAGGTTAATTATTATGATTATTTTTTTTAAATTCTAAAAAACTACGAAAATTATTTTCCCGCGTAAAAAATTTTCAAAATTTTTGTTATGTAATTAATTTATCACCCCCATCTATCGGTCGTATATTGAACTATTTTAACCGTTTTATTAACGTGCATTTTTTTTTTTAACTTGGCGGATTTCATTACGAAGGCAAAAAATTATACGTAATTAAACAAATTTATCGCAATTATTTAAGTACGAAAATAAATTACAATTTTTTTAAAAATCATTCTGTAAATTAATTTTTCAATAATTAATCCATTATCCATTTCGTCAGTTATCTACTTTTTTTTTTCAAAAAATTTTAATTAATTTTTTCAATATGGCGTCGAAAATGATAGTTAACAATTCTTATAAATTTAAATCAATAAAAAATTATTACTTACCGATCATTTACACATTGAAAACAATTAATTTTATTTTAAGTGAATTAAAATTTGTTAATTTCCTGATTATAAATTTGTGTTGTTAAACGTTAGGACAGAAAAATTGAAGAAAAATAACAAAAAAAAAAGAAACAAATTTTTCTTGAATTATTATTAAAGCAATTATTTTAAAAATATTTAAAAGAAAGTAAAACGAAATTAAAATTGATTAACTCGTTGACCACTCATTTTAAAAATTGTTTTGTTTTTCATTTCTTTTTTTTTTTTTTTCGAACAAAAAATTATTATTAATTGTAACAGAATAAGAAACCATTTTGAATTTTTTTTTTTTTTTGCTTCAAATTAATTAAATAAAAAAAAAAGTTTTCATTCTTTCTTTTCATACATATTAATTTTTGAAAAATATTTAAAATAAAATCTACAATTAAAATTATCGAATGATTTGGTTTTTTTTTTCCCTTTTCCTTTTCCTTTTTTTATCGAATATCATTTATAAAAATTTATTTATTTATTACTTTTTTGATAAGAAAAAATTTGCAATTAAAAAAATTGAATAAATAAAAGGAAAAAGAGGCCATATTTACTTTTTTTTTTTTTTTTAAAAGAAATTATTTTTCTTCGCACCATTCATTCTCTTTTCGAACTTGTTCTTCTTCTGCTGCTGTAAAATCATTTTTTATATTAAATGTTTTACGTACTTCTTCTGGTGTTTTACCTTTTATCATATTCGCCACCGTTTTGCATGTTATGTCTAACAATCCTTTTATATCCAGGTAATTAGCAGCCTGAAAATTCAAATGATAATAATAATAATAATGAATAATTTAACTTGAAAACATGATTTCGTTATGATATCGAATGAGACATATTTGAAATCATCAAAATCGATAACATGAACAAATCGGAAAAATATAACCATGTGTAAGATAAGGTAAATGACAAACCAATATTAATTCGAAAAGTGTTCCTTGGTCAACTTTTAAAAAATCAGCATCCCAAGAAGATATGTCATCAGTTCTCTTTTCTTTAATTTCTTCATCTTCTGGTGGTGGTGGATCATCCTTGTGATAAGTAGCCCATTGTATAACCTAAAATAAATAATAATGATATTAAAATGTCACAAGTTTTCTCGAAACACACAAATTCAATTTGTTTAACGAGTAAAACAACAAATCACTCGATTTGAATTAGAGACATTGTTTGAAATGATATTTTAACAAAAAAATAGGAGAAAACATTTGAAAAAACATCAAACTAGAAAAATAAAACAAATAATTTAATTAATGATTGGTTATTATTAAAAAAAGGAAAAACCTTTTTGAGTATCACAGAATTAACATTTGGAAGAGGGACAACTTCTTCATCGTCATCTTCCATTCCGAGATCTTCCAACATAGTTTTAATTGTACCACTACATTTGGCTACTTCGACATCAACCTCAAAAACTTCTCCATCAGAGCTTTGGAGTTTAATATTAGGCATCTAAAAAGGAAGACATTTTTTTATTAGATAATCTTAACAAAAAAAAGAATATTTTTTCAAATAAAGATAATTTATATAATTATCATACGATTATTAATTAATTAATTACATTTCTCTTACTTTATACTAAGTTTTTTTTTTTTTCTTTTTAACTAGAAACAAACAAATTTAAAATTAAAAAAAAAAATTTTTTTTTTTTTTTCCTCCTTCTTTATTCAAACATGTACACACACTTATAATTCAGTAATTTTACTAGGGATTTCAGCGTTGCCAAATTTACCTTTTTTTTTTTACCGTAACCAAAACTGAGTCATTGACTATTACAAATAATTAATTAAAATGTCATTTATTATTTATTAAATATAATATCATTTCAATAAGTTTATTATTATTATTATTATTTAAAAAACGTGTAAGTTTTTAAAATATATATTTATTTGTAAAAAAAAAAAAAAATTATTTGGTTTTTAATACATAATGGAGAAAATTTGCATGGCATGTCTTTTCAAGAAGGCACCATTATTCTACGACACTCCTTTTCCAATTGTGCGGATGAAAATTAGTTCTGTCATGTTATTTATATAATAAATATTATTTACTCTTATTCGCGTGTAATATCAACGTTTTTTTTTAAAAAAATTAAAAGTGTGTTATTTGTTTTCGTTTTAGATATAAATTATTGTAGTTTATACGCGAATAAATATGATTTAAATAAAGTTCTGTTGGGATGTAAACAGGCATCCATTACTACTGCCATGATTGATTTCGGGCGTCTGGAATAATATTATTAAAAAATATTTGGATGATTATTATTTGAGAATAAAATTACAGTGTATTCAACATAAAAATCAATGTTTTTATAAATTATAAACATAAATTATTATAAAGTTCAAGTTATGTGTTACGTTGCATTTCTTTCAAGGTAAATTTTTTATTTTTACTTATTTTTCTTATACAAAACTTCAAATGATATTTGAGAATCTACTTTGTCAAAAAAAAAAAAAATTTTTTTCCCCATTTATTTTATATTAATTTTGTCATTATGCGTGAATGATATTTAAATAATTATTTATTAAAAACTATTTTAATGAGTACGATTTACTAAATCATACATTACCATTAGAAAAAAATGTAAAAATTTAATTTAAATTAATTCGTATTTCATTCAAGTACTCATTTAAATGTCAAGTAAATAAGGTATTTAACTCATTCCCATTTAAATTTCGACGGATTTATCATCATCATCATATTTATCTCAAAATACCTGAAAGAAAATTAATAAATTCTTTATTAATTATTATTTTTTTTTCTCTCTCTTATTGTATAACTCAAACAATTTATATTAAAAAAAAAATAAAATAATTGTTTGAAATTTGAACTCAAATAAGGTCGTGAGAAATGTTAAACCATATTAATATGATTTCTGTCGTTTTCAAGAAGGCAGTGAATTAAAAAAAAAAAAAAAAATGGAGTCTTTTGTTTACATAATTTTTTTTTTCTTAAAAGAAATTTAAATACATTTTAATTATATTTATAAATGGCAATACATTTTAAACTAATTATATCATCCTTTTCGATTATCGATGTAACAAAAAATTTAAATTATAACATTTGAAATGTTTATTTATTACGCTGATTGCGCATCAGTTTTTTATTGTCAATAACATCATGGAAACATCTGGCCTTTGTATGAAATTATTTTTTTTATTAATTATGGTCGATTGAGTTCACTCGAATTAACATCACTATTTCCTACCCTTTTATAAAGCATGTATTTTTAATAAAAATTTATTTATAAATAAAATTATTTTTCTTTCATGTATTAATAAGTGATGTGTTTAATAAATTTTATTTTAAAAAATTTTAATCGAGAGAAATGTAAAAATCTATTTTTATAATTTACTTATTGGATTAATTATTAAATAATCAATAAATGAATTATTAAACTTTGTTATCATTATTATTATTATTAAATAGGTATTTATTAATTCAAATATATATATAAATAAATTTTAAAAAGATTATTAAAGTAATTATTATTTTCTTATGTCCACTTATGAGTTTAACATTCGAAATTGAATATTTTGTTGTATTCTTCAAATTGAAAGTATTTTTTTAAAAAATTTTATTTTTAATTTTTTTTGTTATTCTATAACTTGCATATTTATTTAATTATTATTATTATTATTTTTTCTTTTTTTTTTTTTTGATTTCAGAAAGAAATTGATGAAAAAAAATTATTTTTTTTTAAAATGCCATGAACGAGGGGGTTCACATTAAAGTAACAATTATTGTTGTTACTTTTTCATTAAAATCCATGGATCAAGTAAGAATTGTTTTAAAAATAAGAAAGATAATTTAACATAATAATAATAACAATAATAATAATAATAATAATTTTTTTTTAAAAATTATTCATAATAGATTTTATTCGAAAATGGTGATTGACAACCACAGATCAGGAGGCTCTGGAATGACTCCGAAAGAGCTCTCCGAAAATGATGATCTGGCCACATCTCTTGTCTTGGATCCTTATCTGGGGTTCCAAACTCATAAAATGAATATCAGGTTTGCCAAAATATGAATAATAAAAAAAAATTTTTTTTTTTAATTTTAAAAGGAAATCATTTGTTATAGATAAAATTATTAATTTCAGGTACCGTCCATTAAAAGTAAATAAAGATGATTTAAAATCAATTGTAGAAGAATTTATTAAAACTCAAAATTATACTAGAGCTTGTAAAAAATTACTATGCGGTGAATGGGTTAGCAGAAGTCCTAAAAGACATAATCACGGTTTGGAAGAACACGTGAGTTTATTAGTTTTAACCCCCCGCCCACCACCCCCCACCATCGAACGAATTGGATTCCCTTTCTATAAAAAAAAAATTTTTTTTTTAAATTAATTTTTATTCATATTCCTTATAGATTTATCGTTATTTGAGAGTATTCGATCAGGATTCTGGATTCGTCATCGAACCTTGTTATAGGTATTCGTTAGAAGGTCAAAAGGGAGCTAAAATATCGGCAACGAAAAAATGGTGAGTCGGATTGGAAAAGGATATAAAAGGGAAATGGGGGGAGGGGAAGGGTAATGAAAAAGGGGGAATCGATTGAAATTTTTGTAAATAATTTTCAGGTTTAAAAACGATAAAATATCACGGTTGGTGGGTTGCATTGCCGAATTAACAGAAGAGGAAGAAGGTCAGTTACTACATCCTGGAAAAAATGATTTTTCCGTCATGTATTCCTGTAGGAAAAATTGTGCTCAGTTATGGCTGGGACCTGCCGCGTTTATTAATCACGATTGTCGAGCTAATTGCAAGGTGAGAAATTTGTTACCGCGATTACATCGATGTGTTATCCCCGCCCCCGCTCCCCACTCCCCTCGACCCTTATTAATCAATTGATTTTTTATTAGTTTGTGGCGACCGGAAGAGACACGGCATGCGTGAAAGTGTTGAGAGATATAGAAGTCGGAGAGGAAATCACTTGTTTTTACGGTGAAGATTTTTTCGGCGACGGAAACTGTTATTGCGAGTGTCGGACGTGCGAAAGACGAGAAACGGGAGCATTTAAAAAGGGAACGAAACACGACGATTTGACGACGGGATACAAGTTAAGGGAAACGGATAATCGTATAAACAGGACTAAAATTCACAAGGAACAAGTTCCCGCAAGTTCAAGTGTTCTTCCCCTTAGTTTAAAAGAATTGAGGCAAAAGGGTTTGACGAAATACGATGCCGAAATGCTTTTGGAACAGGGATGTAATTTCGTCGACGCCGAAGTCATACAAACCCGTCAGAAATTAGATAAGAAAACAATGCAAACGCGTAAGAGGAATCGAGGCGGCGGAGGAGGAGGTGGTGGTGGTGGCGGCGGCGGCGGCGGTGGCGGTGGCGGTAATGGTAAAATAATGAAATCGAGGTCGCGGCGGAAAACGGGTAACATGTTCGACGATTACCAGAATTGCGAATCCGAAAGTGTTCCCATTGAACTTTGCGAATATCCCGTACACGCGGACGGAATCGGCATAACTTTAAGAAATCACAAAAGACTGAATAAATTAAAAGATTTAAAATCAAAGAAAAACTCTATTAGCAAAAAGGTGATTCATAATAATAATAATAATAATAACAATAACAATAACAATAATAGTAGTAGCGGTAATAATAATAATAATAACAATAATTACAACAATAATAACAACAACAACATGGGCAGTAGCGATAGTGGCATTAGTGAAAACGTTGAAAACGTCGTCGCGAAAGGAGACATATACGAGTTCGAAGAGGATGATGCGGCTGTGCCGCAGCCTCTCGTCTCGAAAAGAAACAAAATATCGGAATACGAATTGAAAAGTTTAGATTCGAAGGTTAATTACGAGAGGAAAAGCGAAACGAACGGGTCGAGCAAACGTAGCGCGAGAACCGTTTCGGACGGTTCAAAAAACGGAGTCGGTTTGTTGGAGGAATTGGAAAAGAGTTTAAACCTAGTCAGCGACGGTCTTAAAGAAATCGCAAATACGGAAGTGGATTCGGGAGAATCGAACGCGTCGGAAACGACGCCGACTAAAAACGGTCACATAAAATTATTTTTCAAAATCAAACGGAGTCCCATACTCGACGACATATTGGAATCCGGTAGTAATATTCTAAGGAATCCGTTCGAAAGGGAATACGAAGTTTTAAGAATAGACAGCCGGGATTCGTTCGATCTCGACGAATCGGGGGATGCGAAAGAATCGGATGCGTGTCACGAGGAGGAGGAGGAGGAGGGGGGATACGAGGAAGAAGACGACGTTGAAAACGACGACGAAGATAGCGGAGGAGACGAATTGAGTTCCGATAACAACGGGGGTTTCCTAAAGAAAAAACCATTGTACGACGTATCGTCGTTTTTCACGGGTCGACCGTCGTCGCGGCGGAAAAAATGCGAGAAAAAGAAAAGGAATAAGGAAAAGAAGAAGAGGAGGAGGGAAAAGTTGAACAGCAGCAACAGCAGCAGTAGCAATCTAGGTTTGGACAATGACGGCGATAGCGGTTTCAGTTCGAGCAGAGACGGACACGGTAAACTTCCGGTCGATATAGTATCTAGACCCCCGATGAAAAGACTGAGGCTCATACTCGGAAGCGAAACGAGAACCATTGAAATACCGACCGTTTCATAAAAAAAAAAAACATTATCATTATCATCGTCGTCGTTATGACCGCCTCCCCTTCCCCCCCTTTCCTCCCGAATACCGGAAACGAAAAGAATCTTCCGTTACGCGATGATGACATTTCGCGGCAGACTCCTGTTTTGTCTCGGATTCGTTCAGTTCACGGCACGCGAACGGTCGTGACGTCATCATTCCACACACCGCCGAACGGGTTGTTAAACACCGATGACGTTTCGCGTGGTGATCGCGCTGTGGTCCGTGCACGTGTGACGACGACGACGCTGTCGTCGTCGGCGTCGTCCCTTTTCTCCTCGTTTTTTTTTTTTTTTTTTACACGTCACGTCGTCCGCCATTTTTTATAAAAATAATTACGATTATTGATTGTTTTTAATTATTTTTTTTTTTGTGTGTGTGCGTTTATTTCGCGACGAAATGAACACAATTTTATAATTATTATTATTATTATTATTATTATTATTATTATTATTATTATTATTATTATTATTAGGAAATTATTTATTTATTCGACTGGTGGGGAGGGATAAGGGAAAGGGGATGTTTTTTTCCGGGGATGTTTCTTAAGTTTTTTTTCTTTTTTTGTATTTTTTTCCTATTTTTTTCCTATTAGATTTTAGTAATTTATTTTTTTTAATTTTATTATTATTATTATTATTATTATTTATCCGTTTTCCGAAAGGAGAGAAAGAAAGAAATGAAAAAAAGGAGGGGTAGGAGGGAGGGGAAAAACAAATTGAAGAAAGATTTGCGGTGAGTGTGTGTTTGTAGGGGAAGGAGGAGAGGGAGGGGTGGGGTTTAGGGAATGATCGATTTTGAAGAATTTTTTTTCATTTTTATCATTATTATTATTAATATTATTATTACTACTACTATTATTATTATTATTATTATTATTATTATTATTATTATTATTATTATTATTATTATTATTTTGTAAAAACTTTTACGACTTATATATATATATATATATATTTAATTCCATGAATTTTATTTTTATTGTTTTTATTATTATTTTTTTTTATATCTATGGAAATCCGAACGGAAAATAATAGTAATAATAATAATAATAATGATAATTTTGGGAATGTATTTAATAAATTGTATAAATAAAAGGAAAAAAAAAAGGAAAAAAGGAAGGAAGAAAATTTTTTTTTGTTTTTGATTCCTATTAATAATAATAATTTTTGTATAAAAAAAAAAAAAAAATTTCAATTGATTATAAACAAAATGATTATTATTATTATTATTATTGTAAATTAAATTTTTTTTTTTCGTCTTTTTTTTTCTAATGAAAATATCCTAAAACGTGATTGAATGATTGATTGATTGATTGAATTAATTCATCGAAAAAAATAATAATAATAAAAGGAAAACCTTGAAAAAAAATCATATGACGAGTTTTTTTTTTAATTTCTCGTTTGTTACGAATTGAAAAAATTGTTTGTTTGTTTGTTGAAAGAAAAAAATTAAGGTCGTTATTCTATATTGTAAATGAATAAATATAAACATAATAATAATTCTAATATCGAATTAAATGGACTTTTTTTTTGAAATTGATGACGTCATAATTTTTTGAAAACAGAATTTAAACGAGTACAAAAAAAATGGCGCGAATCATTAATAATTTCATAAACGTTAAAACAAAAAAAAATAAATGGAAATGAAATGGGGGGGGGGGTTGGAAAAAGGAGAGAGTACACTTCCCGACACGAACGAATTTTTTTTTTCGGGGGGAAGGAAGGGGATGGGGGGATAACGTAAAAAAAAACGACCGAATGGATACGTTTAAACCCGAATGTTTTTCATAAAATCCGCGAAAAATTAATAATAATAATAATAATAATAATAATAATAGCCGACAAAATGGTTCGGGTGTTTGACACACGTCAAATTAATACGTCACACATCTCTCCCTGAACCTGTGCTCGCTCCACATACGTCACAGGAGTTTAAATCAGGAATAAGATGAAGTCAGTCAGTCAGTACGACTCAACTAACAAGAGAAAATTGATTAGTAAGGTAATATTTGTTCCTTAGGGATGAGGATAAAAATCTCCGACGAATCGCGATAATAATAATAATAATTTTTTTTTTTAAAAAGTTGGTACGCATTAAAATTATTTAATTATTTAAAAAAAAATTTTATTTAAAAAATATTTTAAAAAAAAAAAAAAAAGTAAAAATTATTTTTATATGTATATTTTATACACGCGCACGCGCACACACATTTTATTTTATATATATATATTATAAACGTTTGATTATTAATTCACTTCCTTGTTAAATTATTAATGATAATAATAATAATAATAATAATAATTAAAATCACTACGTTTATATATATATCGATTAGTAATTGATTTCAATAAACATATAAAAAAAAAAAAAAAAAAAATAACTCACGTTCGCAGTAATAGTCATCATTATCATCCCATCTTCTTCTCTCTCTCTTTCTCTTTCGGCCTCTCTGTCTTTCTCACTCTTGATTTTTCTGTCTCCATGATAAAATATGTTTTTCTTTTTGAAGAGAATTCATCCGGAGAAAAAAAAAAAAAAATTACACAAAACTATATAGAAAAAAAGTTTTTTTTTTTTTTTTTTTGTTCTTATCACTCGGTTTTGTTTTTTCTTATCATCCTTCGAAATGTATGAGTTGTTGTTCCTCTTCTACATAATGATGATGATGATGATGATTTTTTTTTGTTTTGGTTTCATTATAATAAAAATGAAAGAGAAAAAAAAAAAAAAAAAAAAAAAATTAAAAATTTTATATAAAAAAAAATTATTTTTTTTTTTTTTAGTGACTGGAGTGTTTAATTTTGGAATTTCGATTTTTTTTTTTTATAGTTAATAATAATAATAATAATAATAGAAATGTGATTTTTTTCCCACGGCCCCCCTCCCACGTTTACATTTTTTTTATTAAAGGGTTAGTAAATCGATATTTTGTTATTATTACTACTACTACTATTACGAAAATTACTGAGCAGAAGCAATTTTTTTTTAAATTAAAAATTAAATGTGACGTCATATTTTCATTTTTCTAAAAAAAAAACCAACCCTGTCCCCCACCCCCAACCCCTTATTTAAAAAAAAAATGTTTGTAAATGAAAACAAAAAAAAAACGAGATTGTAAGTTAAAAAAGAAACAAAAATTTGAATTTCGCGCGCAAAATTTCAATCGTTTGAAAACGACTTTACCCCTTAATCTATCCCTTCCCCTTTGATTTTACTCCTCTTACACGTCATCATTTCCCCCTCCATTAACTTTTACACCACGTTTCCCTCTCCCCTTTAATTTTTTTCTCTCTAATTATTTCCCCTTCACTTTTCTATTTAATTAATCCCCCTCAACTTACCCCTTCCCTTTCTTCTATTTCATCGTACTCTCTTCCCATTGGCTTTCACATCACTTCACTTCCGCTTCGCTCCTCCCCTTTTTTTTTTTCGTCTCTAACATTCGTTCTTCCCCTTCCATTTCGCGTTCATCTTTTTCCCTCGTTTATCTTATCTTCCCCTCTCCGTATCACGTCCCTTCTTCTTCTTCCTCCTCCCACTCCTCCTCTTCGTGATACCGACCACGTGGTTTTGTTTATTTTTATTTTTTTTATTTTATTTATTCATACGGATTCGCGTTTTTAACATTCGTTTAACTGAGCGGGGAGAGAAAAAAAAAATTCTTATTTTTTATCATCCCGCTTTTTTCCTCCGGGATTTTTTTTCCCCTCCCACCTCCATCTCCACCTCCTCCTCGCATCAAATTAATTATTATTTTACGTAATTAATATATGTATATAGTTATCATAATTAATTATTGTTATCATTTTTTTTTTATTTTTTCATTCTTTAATGCCACGTTATTTTTTTTAATACGGAAAACAAAAGGCAAGAGAAAAAGAGAGAGATAGAGAGAGGGAAGGAGGAAGTGAGATAGAGGAAGTGAGAGACCGAGTGGAAAATGATTAATTTCCCTCCACCTTTTTTTCTTTTTCTTTTTTTGTTTTAAATTTAAAACCGAGAGAAAAAAAAATTTTCCATCACCAATGTTAATATATAATGTTTTTTTTTATTTAAAAAAAAAAAAAAAATGGCGGAGAAAAGAAAAAACTGTTAATAATAAGAAATGTATTAAATAAATAAAAAAAAGAAAAAATTAAAAAAAAAATAAAAAAAAACACAAAAAAAAAAGAAAAGAAAAAAAAAAAATAATAATAGTAATAGGGAAAAAGAAATACGTGCATGCCAATATTAATAATGAAAATAATAATAATAATAATAATAATAATAATAATAATAATAATAATAATAATAATAATAATAATAATTAAGTGCATTCAAATCGCAAAGTCGTTTTTTTTTCTGTGCGTATGAATCATTATTAATTCGTTTATTTTTTCTTGTTTGGTTGTGCGCAAATGTGCGTAAATACGCGTAAATACGCGTAAATACGTATGCATGTGCAAATTAACCGTCCGCCATATTTTTTTTTCTCATTCATAATAATAATAATAATAACAAAACTCACGCTCACACACACACGCGCGCGCGTTAATAATAATTATTTTTTTATTCGTATTTGTTTAAAAATAAAATTATTTATTTATTTATTTATTAATCATTTGTTATAAAATTTATTTTATTTTAAATAAACAAACAACAAACCCGATTTTTTTGTTCTCTCCCTCGTATATTCATAATATTACAAATAAGTATCAATATTAAAAAAAAAAAAAAGTACAACGAAAAAATTTTCCGACGGGTATCAAATACATATTTCAAAAATAATAATAATAATACTGCACAGCTCATATATGTATATATATTGAAAAAAAAAGACTAATTAAAGGGAGTGGGGGCGGAGGGGGGCACGATGTATTCATAATAAAAAAAAAAAGACCAACAACAGCGTGAATGCACTTAAATATTTTTTCTTTTCTTTTCTATATCATTTTTGTATGTACAACAAACAACAACCAAATTATTATTATTAATTTTTTTTTTTTTTTGGCATTACACCCCGCAACCAACCTGCTAACCCGATTCATTTCCGATTATTATTGACTATAAAAAAAAAACGCTTCCAAAATAATAATAATATTAATAATAATAGAAATAATAATAATAATATTAATAATAAAATAAAAGAAAAATTAAATAAAAAAATTTCATTTCGACAAATTTATATATATATATATATATATGTATATATGTAAATAAAAAAAAAAAAAAGAAAGAAAAGAATATGTATAAGGTAATAATAATAATAATGATAATAATAATAATAAATTTTCTTTTTCCTCTTTTTTTCACGTCCGAAAGAAAACAATGAATCATTTGAGAGGGAAAAGAAAAAAAAAAAAACAAAAACAAAAACAAAATGAAAACAAAACGTAAATAAAACGTACAAGAGATATAAAGAAAAATATTTAATATTAATAATAATAATAATAATAATAATAATAATAATAATAATAATAATAATATTAATAATAAAAACCTTATAAAACAAGGTCGCGAATTGTTTTCCTTATTTCTCTCTCTTACTCTTTCTCTATCCCCTCCTCTTCCACACACACCCCCCTTTTCCTGATTTCCCCCCCCCCTTTCATCTTCTTCCACAAATCTATCATTTTATAATAAAATAATAATAATAATAATAATAATAATAATAAAAACTTGAAATCGACTGAAAAAAAAAAAGTAAAACACTACATTTGTACGCATTGACTAACTGACTGAATGAGTGACTGACTAACTGACTGAGTGACTGAATGATTGATTGATTGATTGACTGACTGACTCCTGCTTTGCTTATCGAACCACAATAATCCTAAATTTTGTTTTCGTTTTTGTTTTCTAATTTTTTTTTTCTTCATTTTTTAATTTAATTACTTTTAGTTACAAAAAATTATATAATTCATTGTCTTGTTCGACTATGTCTCTTCGTTCGCAAGTTACCTGATTGTTGTTGCTGCTGCTGTTGATGATGATGATGATGATGGGGTTGTTGTCCGTTCGTCGTCTGCGGCGTCCTGCTACTGTTGTTGACCATGAGTTTACCGGTCACTCCGATGTTCGGATAAGGTATTTTGAATAATTTAACTTTTAAATGATCGCATATCTCGTGGCAAACCTCCGTCGAGTAACGCAAAAGATCCAACGCCACCCATATCTGCATGATGAACAACACGCACACGCACACGCACACGGAGAAGAATTACGTTAGCATTTTTGTATTTTAATAAAGAGAGAGAGAGAGAGAGAGAGAGAGAGAGAGAGAGATAGAAGATGGATAATACATACATAAACATCTTCTTTTTAAAAGTCTTACCAAACAAGCCCACAGGACGTAGTATTCGTCAAAGAAAAAATTAAAATATTGATTAAGGAACAACATGGCGGGCCCGACGAGAGCCGTGTCCAAGTAATCTAATTCGTTTTTGGTCATGTGCGCAACCTGGAAAAACGATTAAACCATTTACTACTTAATGGGAAATCGACATGAAACCTGAAAACAACAAAAACCGTTTCATTCTTCTTTTTCTTACCACGAGACGATTGGTCACCTTCGCCGAGACCATACCAAATGCCAGTATATACAAAGCCGGATTATTTTCGTAAAGTTGATTATCCGACTTTTTATATATGATATATGCAGGCACGATTACCAATGAAAACGGTATTATGGGAGACAAAACGCTGGTACCCTACAAAAAAAACAAACAAACAAATTAATAACAACGAAAACAACAACAATAATAATAATAATTAATAATGAAACGATGATAGTGTGTGTGTGTGTGTGTGTAATGAAAAAATGACCGGTTTTCCTCTACTTGAAAAGTAAAAGTGACAGAGAGAGAGAGAGAGAGAGAGAGAGAAAGAGAGAGAGATAGAACAAAGAAGGTTGTTTCCCGATTAAATTAATTAATTAATTATTACGTACGGCGACGGTGGATCCATTTTTTCCAACCCCTCCACCGAAAATGACTTTTATTTTAGAATACGCGAGACCACCATATATGACAACGGTGAAGACAATAACGATTAGTTTAAGCTCGACGTGAAGCACAAACACCTTTTTAACGTTTTTTTTTTTTTTTTTTTATCAAACGCCACCGCGAAAGCAGCATAAACAAAAAGAAAAAATAATGATGATAATAATAATAATAAAAATAAACCTTGAGTTAAGAAAAAAAAAACCAAACCTGAAAAAAAATTAACCCTTTTGCAAGCGAGAAAAAAAAAAAAAAAAGAAAGAGACACAAACACCTGGAAAACAAACGTTATCCATTAGTAGTAGTATTAATTAGGTGGTGACACAATTAATCGTTAGAAAAAGACAAATGATAAAAACTTAAAGGTATACAAAAAGAAACACAAACAGACAACACAGAGAGGGGGCGGTGGTGGTGGGGGTAAAACTAAAACGGAAGCGGAACGTTCGAATCGTTACCGTATCCGGTATACGATCGTCGAGAGCAATAAAAAAAAAAAAAAAAAAAAAAAAAAAAAAAAATGCGCACGTCGTCACCCTCACACACACACACACGCACAAACGCACTCGCGCAGACATCGTTTCGAAAAACAGGTTTCTGAAACATTAAAAAAAATTTTTTTTCCGGATAAATCAAGGAAAATGAAGGAAAGACGGGGGGAGGGGAGAGGGAAATTCGTCGACATATTTTGCAAAAAAAAAAAAAAAAACGAAATTTAACCGAGAGACGTCAAACCAAACAAAAGGAAGCTTTTTTTTTTCTTAAAAAAAATATATACGCGCACATACCGTACGAAACAGCAGCAATTAAGCGGTCCCCCCTCTTATTGGCTTACGGAAAAAGTGAAAATAATAATAATAATAATAATACTAATAAATGATCCCAAGTTTTTATATTGAATTACGTACGATTCGATTGATATTTGTTTTGTTTTAGGGGTTTGGTAATTTTGTAAATCGTATTATTATTATTATTATTATTTTAGTCGGGGCCCTTATCAGAGCTCAAGTTCGTTATTCGCGTGATTAACGGCTCAAGAGGGGAAGAATAAAAAAAAAAAAAGTCGCGAGAGTTAGAAAGAAAAGAAAAGATAGAAATACAGAGAGAGAGAGAGAGAGAGAGAGAGAGAGAGAATGTGTTTGTGTGCGGAAAAGAGAAGAGAAGAGAGAGAGAGAGAAAAAAAAGAAAAGTAATGTCGTGGCATTAGGAGGAAAGAAAAAAAAAAAAAAAAAAAAAAAAAAAGAAAACACTTACGGCGACGGTCGAACCGTTTTTCCCAGCTCCTCCCTCTTCGAAATTTTTCCAAAAAAAACTAAAAGACGCTAAAAAACCTAGGGTAACGATATAAACGACTAGTTGAAAATATTGTAGGCCGGGTAGGAACGGGATCTAGAAAGTAACGAGAAAAACAAAAAAAAAAAACATAAAGAGTCAACACAAACAAACAAAAACAGAAAAAAAAAGTTTATACAATTTTCTTTTTTTTTTTTTTTTTTCCTTTTTCTTTTCGTGGGAGTCCAGTTTATTACGTCACTCAAAAAAAAAAAAAAATCATCTGAAACAAAGAAAAACAAACTTTTCCTACGTCGAAAGTGAGAACAAATTTTTTTTTTTTTTTTTTTTTTTTTTAAATTTTGAAAACTTTGTGGAAAACCTCGAAGCATTGTTTGACCGGAAAAAAAAAAATTCATCTAATCGGGAAAGGTTACCCGAAAGAAACCTGAATGAAACGTGTCCGTCCACGTGCCGCGTCATCATTACGCAAATCAAATATGTCCGAAATCCATGTCCGGAAAACAAACAAAAATTTCTGTTAATGGTTACGTGACGGTGCCTCATTTCATCATCTCATTCTTACGTGCCACTTAAAACCCGGTTGTAAAAACGAAAAACTTTCAGCGTGACAAAAACGGAAAATTCACTCAACGTGCGCAACAACACGAGTGGAAGATACGAGGATCGCAATTATCATTATTATTATCACCAACTGGAAAAGCATGTGAAGGTAGCAAAACCGTCAAAAATGAACTCGTCACAAGTGACGTCACAACCCCCCCCAAAAAAAACAAACCACGATGGAAATTCGAACGTTCGCTGTTCTTCCTGAGGAATCTCGATAACAAAGTCCGTACGCAAAACATTCAAAATAATAATAATAATAATAATTTCACACGAAAAAAAAAAAAAATCAAAGTGTACAAATGAGTTGGGGGTGAAAGAGAGAGAGAGACAGAGAGATGAAAAAGATGATGGTAATGTCGATGATGACAAAGATAAAAAAGAATAAAAAAGAGTAAAAAAAACAACAACAAACAAACAAACAAACAAACTTGTTAATAATATAATTTCTGTTAAACTTATTAATTGTTTTTAAAATTCGTACTTACCCCAATTGCGTTATCGATTGATTGATTGATTGATTGATTGTTAAACGTATCACACCACCATTATCAATTCGGTTCTTATTCATCATGCAAGTTAACAGACAAAAAAAGAAAATTTTTTTTTTTTGGTTTGGCTCCCCCTCGTCAGGTTTTGTCATCACGGGTCATCGTCAATTAATTACACTTTAACAACAACAACAACAACAACAACACGAACCGAGAAAAATTTGCAAATATCGTAACACACAATCATCCCCCTTGACAGCAGAAAAGAGAAGAGAGAGAAAAAAGAAAAGAAAAGTAAAGGTAAGAAAAGTAAAGTAATGAAAAATCGATCGATTGTCGTCGATTTCATTTAAAATAACAAAAAAAAAAAATAAATAATAATAATAATAATAATAATAATTAATTGAATTTGATTAATTTTAGACGAACGGTTGTCGCCGCCAAAACCGTTATAATCGCCGTCGAACGGCGATTCGAATCCTATTAAAACCTAACGATCGAATGATGACGAAAGGAATGAATGACAAACATACTACTGCTGAGAAAATGATTATGAAAATTCTTTGAAATGTGGTGGGAGGGGCGGTGCAATGCAATGGATGGTGACGGTGAAGGTGGTGGTGACGGTCACCCACCAGGTGACAGGTTTCAAAATTTAAAAAAAAAAAATTATCACAGTCGTGTGAGTCGTATAAAGACTCGATTAGACTCAAAAAACCGTCGATGACGACGATGACGACGACGACGAGACACCCTTTAATATTAATTAAATTGTTAATAAGCAACGCAACAACAGCGTGACGACAACAACCACAACAACAACAACAACCAAATCGACATTTACCAAATGTTAATAAAGCCAAGCCGCCGACGAGAATTTTGATTTTTCAAATGTTTTACACCCGGTCGCCATATTAACATCCTTATTTTCGATTCCTTTTTTTTTTCTTTCGTTCCCGCTCTCCTACCCCCCCCACTCCTCCCTCCCCCCGTTTTTTAAAAGTCTTTCGAATTTTTTTTTGCAACTTTGGCATTGTGCCTCGGTAAAAAAAAAAAAAAAAAAAAAAATCTCGAGCCAAAAACTTTTTTTTTTTCTCGTCTTTTCGACCGACCCCATCTTCATCATCCTCTTTTCTCTCTTTTTTACCTCCTTTCGCTATTCCCCTCCCTACCTACCTACCTCCCCCCTACTCCCCGCCCTTCTTCTTCCTTCTCCTTCTTCTTAATCGAAAAATAGGACACCGTCACACTAACGATTTTCATTTTAACGATTAATTTTTTAATTTCGTGTAGTAAAAAAAAAAAAAAACAAACGTATGTCATCAATCGAACGTTTCTCTCTCCCCCTTATCCTTCCACCCCCCGTTTCGAAACGACAAATAATAATAATAATAATAATAATAATAACAACTAATAAGTCGATTCGAATGTTTCAGGTTATTGTCATGTCAATAATAAATTCGTACGTTTGTCACGCGACTCCTCCGTCTACAGTGCGAATGGTGACCGACAAAAATTTTTTTTGGACGCTGCTGTTGTGACACGGTCAAGCAGTAAATTTACTGCGGGAAAACTTGTCGGCTTCGGACTATTAAGGGGAGAGAAAAACCTAAAAAAAATTTTCCGATCATTTCACACACACACGATCGATAATCAAACCATTATCAGTCCATGCGGTTAGTATGCTATTAGAAAAAACACGCGAGAGTTAAATTTTTGTTGTTAACGACAGGTTTTGGCACCTGAATCCACCTGAACGGCAACATTCTCCCGCCTCCTACCCCCTACCCCCTACCCCCCACGCACTTATACATCCCGTTATTTTTTTTTTTTTTTTTTTTTCTAAACGTTTAAGGGATTCAATTCCAAATAAATAAAGGTACGGAAAAATCAAGACGATAAAAAATTTCTCGTCAATCCATGCTACACGATTTTTTTCTCCTTTTCCACAATGTTTACAAAAAAAAAAAAAAAAAAACCGACAATGATAATAATAACAATAATAATAATAATAAATAGCAATGACGACACCGAATACAAAAAAAAATTAGTTCTCACAAAGGACGTAAGTTAGTGTTAATTAATAATGGAGTTTGGTGGTAGTAGTAGTAATAAACAGCAGTAGCAGCAGTATGGGAGGGCGGGCGGTGGTGGCAACAACCTTTAAAAAAAAAAATCCCTCTTCTGATCCTGCTTTTTTTTTTCGTCTCTTTTTAACGGTCGGAAAATCTTTTTGTTTCTCGAATACGGTTTGAAAATTTTACAAGAGCAAAAAAAAAAAAAAAAAACCATAGGATGGTATATGAATGAATGAAAAAATCTGCCAACCTTTTCCCCCTTTCCCCCGCCCCCTCCCCTTATAAAAAATTCAAAAAAACAGACACAGACTGAGAGAGAAAGAGAGAGAGAGAGAGAGACAGACGACAAATTTTCACGAATTTTAAATTAAAGTAAAAAAAAAAATTCATTTCGAAAACGATTTTACTCTCTCATCTACTCTTTTTTTAAGTAAACCCGACATTTTCGATAATGATAATGATGATGATGATAATGATGATTAAGAGCACACACACGTGCGTGCAAAATTAATAAAATTTGAATAAAAATAAAGCAAAAAAATTTTTTTTTCTTTTTAAACGATTGTAAAAAAAAAATCTATTTATAAATCGTTTCAATGTTTTTTTTTTTTTTGTTTTTTCTTTTGCACACGAATACCGAAAACTTGACAGCCATCATTTTAACGTTTTTTATTTTATTTAATTTTTTTAAAATTTATATATATATATATTAATTTAAACTTTTTCTTTGAACAAAAAGACAACCTAATCGCAGCCAACAATTTTTTTTTTTTCTCTCTTTGAAACCGCGTTTTTAACCTTCTCTTCCCCCCCACACACTTTTTTTTTTTTTTTTAATAAACGTGACCGCCGAGACGAATGAAAAAAAAGCAGGAATCGAGAGAGAGAGAGAGAGAGAGAGAAAGGAATTTTCCTTTTTCCTTTTTTTTTTTTTTTTTTAATTTTTATTGTTTTTTTTTTTTTTTAAACTTACAGCTACTGTCGAGCCGTTTTTTCCAACGCCTCCCGATATAATCACAGTGAAAACTTGGTACACGTTATAAGAGCAACAAATAATCGTTACGAGAGCAATTAAGTATCTAAGCTCCCATTTGAAACCTACGAAATCCACCTGAAATTACACGAATTAGTTTTGACAAAACAACAATAACAACAACAACAACAACGATATAAAATATTTTTTTAGCTCGAACCCTAAAATAAATAAATAAATAATTTATTAGTTAATCAAATTTTGTGACGTCATCATTTCGAAAAACGTTTATCACGATAATAATAAACGATGAAAAAAAAGAGACTCCTTCGATCGTACCTGAAAAAAAAATCTCGATTCCAAGGTGATAAAAAAAAAAAAAAACGATTATTAATTATCACGCACACGAGCGTATACTACATACACGTATGCACAATACAGGTACGCACCTGATAGTAATAAAAAATAATAATAATAATAATAAAATTATTATTCGTCTACAAAAAAAAAAAAAAAAAATCAATCAATAATATTTTTTTTTTAATCGTTTATTGATTAGTTTTCCGTTTTCCGCTTTTCTTTTTCCCCTTCCATTAATTTGTAAATTAATGATTTCAAGTTTTAAAAATTTTTTATAATTTTTATGTAATCATTTTTCAGCCATGAATTTTTTAATAAAAAAAAAAAAAAAAAAAAAAGTTTTGAAATGTGTGTGTGTAAGAGAGAGAGAGAAAAACAAACTAGAATTTTTCAAATTCGTAAAAATGGATGAGGGAGTGAGAAAGTGAACAAGTGAAAGAGAAAGACAGACAAAACGGACTGATTACCGTAAATATAACAAACGGGGGAGAGGGTGTGTGGGGGGAAGGGGAAAAGAAAATCGAAGGTAAATCAATATGATTGACGTGACGTAAAAATTTTCAAAAAAGGGAAAAAATGGGGTTTTTATTGTTTTTGATACGAAATAAATTTTCAGAGTTGCATTTATTATTTAAGAAAAAAAATTTTCTTTTTTTTTTTTTTTTTTTTTTTTTTTTTGATTTTCTACAAGTCTCTTTGACTTTTATTCGACTGGGGGGGTAAGGGGGTAGGGGTAGGGGGGAAAGGGGTGAAGTAAAATTGACAACATAGCTGTAAAATCCAAATTAAAAAATTATTTCCAAATCATTGAATAAAATTATTATTTACCTCTGTCATCCAAATACTCGGTCCGAAAATGGCCGATGTGAGATGAATGAGTATGATAGCACACTGAGCTTCAGTAACATCAACACGGCCAAATTTCATCGTTCCACTGACGTATGTTTGCCAGTGAGCACAGTAAAATAATGTCATAGCACAAAAACACTGGAAAAACATCCATGTTGGGTATTGACCCAGCTGTACAGCAACACAAGCGGACAAGGCAACAAAAACTGTTTTGAAAAAAAAAAAAAAAAAAAAAAAAAAAGAAAAATACAAAAATTATCTTATTTAGTTATGTGTGTGCAAATTAATCAATTATCAATGATGAAAAGAAATGAAATACAAAAAAAAATTTAACTTCTCTCGACAAGCATGCATAAACTTTATGACCTTGCAATGGTAGAATAATTTAATTTAGTATAATTAATAACCTGTCGAAACTGAATCACAGCCATGATCGAATAGTTCTCCTAATGCATTCGATGTTCCTGTTCGTCTTGCATGTTTACCATCAATCGCATCTAAACTTTGATATATAAAAAGTCCTACAGCACATAAAAAACATGCCCATTTTGGTGCCTGAAAATAATAATAATAATAATCAACATCCAATACAATTATAATTTAATGAGTATACATTCGTGACAAAAAAAAATTTTCCATTACAATTCGTCTTTTTTTTTTTCTCTTCAATTCTTTCATTGAGTCAACAAAGTAATAATAAAAAGAGTCGATTATTTACATTTCAAAAAAACTAATTTACCTACATGTGATTAGTATTCGGAAAGAAAAACAAAGAATCAATTTGTTTATAATAATAATAATAATAATAATAATAATAAAAATGATAATTATGCTGTAAATATATTCATTATTTTGATAATCGATAATTAAAATTTCATAATTAAAAAAAACACGATGGTATAAAATATTTTTATTAACAGGAATCGAAACAAAAAAAATAATAAAATAAATTTTAATTGTTTTTCTTTTTTAATATACACATTCCAAATCTTAATTAATAATTTCAAAACATAAGTAATGAACACAAAGTATTTTCAAAATACACTCGAACCCCCTTGACCCACTTAGTTATAGCATCACAACACTTAATTTTTATATATATATATAATGTTGCAGTATCTTTGTTTTGAAAAAACATAAAAAGAGATGTTAAAAACATTTGTTACAAACTAAATTACAAAACATGAGGACTGCAATCGGATGAAAACCTATTCAATATTATTTTGGGGGGAAAAAAAATTCCATTGTAGGTTTCGAAAAGTTAACATAAGGTAATATATGATGATAATATTTAAATGAAAACTTAAATAAGTTAGTAAAAGTAGACAAAAAATTTAAATAAAAAAAAAATAGAAAAATGTTTTCGAATAAAAAAGATAATGGGAATCGGTTGTAAACAAGTTAAAACAAGGTCAGAGCATTGTGTCAAACCAATTTGAACATTATCCACTTGCAAATCAAATTAATAATAATAATATGAGTAAGCAAATAATTACCTATTAATGAAATGTAAAGTTAATTCATTTATGGAAATATTTAACAAAAATTAACACTAAAAATGATGAAAATTTTTTATATTGTTTCATACACACACACACACACACACATGTATATGTATTTAAGAATGAAAGTTTTCAAATCTATTGAAAATTTAATTATTTAAATATTAATAACAGGTTAAATGAATTCTTCCAATGCAAAAATACTTAGTGTTAAAAAAAAGAAAAAAAAAAGGTTATTTAAAAAGATGATGACACAATAAAGATTATTAATTATGTTAGGTCATCATTGAAATTTCTTAGAGTAAATTAAAAAAAATCTGAAAACTTACTTCCGCTCTAGCATCTGGACTGTACCAAACGAGAATTAACGTGGTTATTATATTAACAATTAAACCAGATATTGTTAAAACGTTCGGAGCTAACCATAATGGAGTTTTTGATGTTAAAAAATTCCAAAAAGGTTGAAGATATTTATCAAGTAAACCAATATTTTCACAACTGTACAAATGTTCACTTAACCGTTTTAACTGACCGTTCGATAACAATTTTTCCCTGTACAGTAACATAATCAATTAATTATTTTTATAAAAACTGATTAACAAGTAATCATAAATGTTTAAAAAAAAAAAAAAAAAATTAATAATAATAATAATCCCGAATTTATTTTATTATATGTTTCATTTTAATAACATAGCTCCGATCGTATGATTCTATTAACACCGTTTTTATATGCCGTTTTCTAACAACATGGAACTTTAGCGTTGTTGCCAGATTTAATACCGTATTTAACTAAATGATGTCGCTGCAATCAACTTTTCTTTAAAAAATTATTTCATCCGAAATACTTTTACCGAAATAAATTTTTCATTATTAATATAATTAAATTTAAAAAAATAAAACTTTTTAAAAATAAATTTTAATATGAATTTTTAATTGAAAAAGCAACCGATCTAAAAAGTTTTTCAATTTTAATTTATGGGTTATCCATTACTCATAGTCATAACCAATATACCTGAAAGAGTCAAATCAGTTATTTATTTATTTTTTTTAAATCGAAAAATATTTTTAAAAACAAAATTATCGTTATTTTAATTAAACTCTCATAAAATAAAATACGTAAAACTTTATAAATTTTAATTATTCGCAATTAATTAATAACTTTAATCGGTGACGAAAAAAATCAAAAGTTTTTTTTTTTTTTACGTAGTACTTGTTTTAGTTTACGTAGTGCTTGTCTCTAACGGTTTTTTCGCGAGTACTACAAAATGGCACCAAACGTTGTTTCAAATTTTTCGTTAAAGAAAAAACATTTAATCATCATCACTTAATGCCTAAAATGACAAATTTACATCAAATACTTATAAAATAAGTTAATTCGAGGTACGAAATTGTCTAGTTTTTATTCTATTAAATGTAATTAATCGATTTTATAAATGAATACAAATATCCATTGAACACAATAGTTTAAATTTAAAATTGTTAATTTAAACCAATACAAGTAATTAGTTTTATTTTAGTAAATTCATGGCTTAAAAAACTTACATGAACACTTTCACAGTCAAATAAATTGAATTTCATTAGAGTTTCATATAAATGAATATGTTAAAATTGTTATTATTCATTAATAGTAATGACAAACATAACATAAGCCAAAACATTTAAATTTAAAAAAAAAAAAAAAGGGATTTTTTTTATAGAGAGAGAGAGAGAGAAAATATATACATTTGTGTGTTTAATTAAAATTATTAACTTAGTTCCAAACCATAAAGTTAATTTAACCCAGAATGAAGATTAAAACTTTAGGGGTAATCATTTACCAAAAACTTGTTATTTTATCTTATATATATATATATATAAGTTTAATAATAATAATAATAATAATTATAAAGTATTGTTAATTTTTTTCTTATTTCATTCTTGTCCTCCCTTTTGAAATGTTTTTTAGTTATTTATTATGTTGTTAGGATTAGCATACAAAACAATAGAGAGTGTGAGAGAGAGAGAGAGAGTGTGTGTGTGTGTGTAAGAGTTGTCATAAAATTACAAAAGATAAAATCAAATAATTTTTACTTTTAGAATGAAACAACCATCATCACCACCACCACCATCACCATCACAACAACAACAACCACCACCACCATCATTCACATAACAAATACAGAATACAAACAAAAATAATAATACTTAGTAATTTACATTGTGGAAAATTAAATTTTAAATTTGATGTGAGTATTTTTTTTTAAAATTTTCATAACCCCATACTTTAAAAGGGTGAAAACAGTAACAAAAAAATAATAATAATAATAGAAAAGAAAGAAAAAAAAAAGAAATTAACATTTAAATCAAAAGTTAAGATGTCTCCTGAGTGAGAGGGAGAGAGAGAGGGGAGGGAAAAAAAAATGCAAAAAAAAAAAAAACTCTTATTTTTTAACGGTAGTTTTGGGATTTTCAAATTAATTTTACTTAATAAAAAAAAAAAAAAAAAAAAAAAAAAACTTTTTACCATTTTCCACCATTTTTTTTTTTAAATGAAAAATTATTTCAGTTTTAACTACTTAACGCCTTTTTAAGGTTTAACATTTGAAAAAAAAGGTAATAGTAATAATAATAATAATAATAATAATAATAACAATAACAATTGCTTAAAGGTATATAAAATGTTGTTAATTAATTAACTTTCTCATAAACATGTAAATTAAAAAAGGCAAGTCCAGTTTAAGTTTTTAGCCCCCATTATTATCACCCACCCCCACCTCACCCCCCTCTCTCTCTCTCTCGTTTGTTTATATGATTTATTTTATACTAAATTTTTTTTAAACATAATTTTATCTAAATAGATTTTCTCTCTTATTTTCATCATCATACTGCTTTAGGGTTTCAGAACTTGCAATAATTTTTCAAAATATATAAATTATTCGTACAAACAAACAAACAAACGAACAAACAAATGGGATTATAGAAAATAAATAAATAAAAAAAAAAAAAATTTTCAAAACTCTTTCACAAAAATTATCGAATATTTTCCTAAAAAGGTATATATTTGGGGGTGAATAAAGAAAGAAAGAAAGAAAGGAAAGAAAGGAAGAAAAAAAATAGTTTTAACTTTTACTAAAGGGATGAAAGAAAAGGGATAAGAGAGGATGGTGGTGGAGGGAGGGGGTGTCGTGAATTTTATCGGTCAGATATTGTTCTAAGCGGAAATGAAACGATGCCAACGTTCTATTGTTCGATAACGGGTTTCATTTGTTTGCAGGTAATTCGATTGGAGCTCAATCGAACTTTATGTAACTTTAGATGCGATAACTTTAACTCAATGGATTGCGATAACAATATATACAATTGAAAAGGGTTTTTTTTTTTTTTTTAATGTAAAAAAACTACACGAAATTCTTAGATGACTATCTTTTTTCCCTCAATACTATTTCCTTTTATTGAAAGGTTTCACCTTTTTAAAAAAAAAAAAATCGTACTACGTTATCAATTCTATTCTAGTGCTATATTATAGCTATCGTTTTTCTTTTTTTTCCCCTCCTTTTTTCCTTTTTTTTATTATTGTTATGTAAAAATTTCTATTGTAAATTTTTTCGATAATTAATAATAATAATAATTGTTTGTTAAACGATTTAAAAAAAAAAAATGGCGGATTTGTTTAAACGCGAATGTTAGTGTTTAAAAAAAAAAAAAAATTTTTTTTTTGTTTAGGAAAAATAAGATAAATTGTTTTGAGTGTAAAGAAAAGAAAACGGGAAACGGATTTGGAGGGGGAGGGGTTAGCAGAACGACAATAACACCACCATCACCGCCACCAACACCACCAACATCCCCATTAATCGCTCTCTCTCTTATCTTTATCACTTTGAAAGTCGTTTTTCTTTTACATCGATGTCGGCGGTTATAATCCTCAACCTTTTTTTTCCCTCCCCCCTCCTCTTTCCTTCTTTATTTTCTCGCAGCCTTTTTTTTTTTTTTGAAGAAAAATTGTTCAGGTAGAATTTTTTAAACTTACCTGGGAGTGGTGGTGGTTTACTCCTGTAATGCAACTACTTGGAGGTTGGAGCCGGGAATTCTGGGATTGGATTTCCTACGTTGACTAGACGTCCCCTAGGCGTAAATCTTCAAATTATGGGATCCCGAGGTAGCCAGGTTGAGTCTGAAAAGGGGAAAAATCGGCCCAAAAGTCACCGAGTCGAGAGTCGTGTGTTCAGTTTCAGCTTGTCTAAACAAGAACAGACGTGTACCTACAATTTAACAGGATTAGTGACGTAGCACCCTTTCGAGGCATTGGGTATGCGCCGAACCTTGTTCGAGGGGTGAAACTGAGTACTTGTAAATGCAAAGTTCCGACGGGTAAGGAAGACAGATGAACAATCAACGGGATTCAGGACTCTCTCCGGAAACTCGCAGACTCTGCGGAAGAGGCAGGAACGATGATAACAGCTCGGGACTGTCTTTCCAAGGGTAAATAGGGGAAGAAAACATACCGGGATCTTTCTCGGATGGGATTCCTATTCTTGCAAGTATGAACCTGATGGTTCTGGAAGAGATTAAGTCTGAAATTTAGGTTGTTCTTCAGCAAACGCCCCTCCCTCCAGGAAACACGTGTTGTGACTGTGATAATGACTTCGACCGAGCCCCTCACTCTCCCTGCCACCGGATGGGGAAGTTTGTGCAAAATGCATTTCTCCTGGGTTAACAAAAAAAAAAAAAAAGAAAGAAAATCAATTCGATTTTTTATTGCCACATTTTTTTTTCCTCTCATTGTTCGAAACCGGAAATTAACGAGTATTATTATTATTATTTTAACGTTTCCACTTTTTTTTAAAAAAATTTAATGTGAAAATTTTTCTTTTTTTTGTTAAACACGAATAGGTTAATGCTTTACGAAGTTTAATTTTCTAAAAAAAAAAAATTTATTTTCCCGTAGAAAATTCGAGAAATATTTTCTCGTAGTAAGTAATTCAATTTTAAAAGAAAAACCAGATTAAAAAAAAAAAAAATTTTTTTATAAAAATGGGGTAGGAAATAAATAAGTAAATAAATAAATAAATTTTTTTTTTCTTTTTTTTTTTTTTTTAAACAACCGGAAGTAAAAAAAAAAAAAGAAAATTTACTTTTTTAAACTTTTCCTTATTTCCTTTTTTTAAAAAAAAAACACGTGTAAAATAATTTTTTTTCATCGAACATTCGTTTTAATAATAATAATAATAATAATAATAATAATAATAATAATAATGATAATGATAATAATGATGATGATGATAATAATAATAATAATGATAATAATAATAATAATTATAAATTCGAAAGAATTTTTTTTTATATTTTAAAATGCTTCGGAAATTTCCCGAGATTTTTGTGTTTGTTGAAAAAATTTTAAAAATTTTCCTCCAACATCAAAGTTTTTCCTTTTTAATATTTTTTTTTTTTTTATATAAAACAACCTTGTCAAAAATATTTGATAAAACAAAGAGTTAAAAAAAAAAAAAATTAAAAAGTGGAGAAAAAAGAGAGAGAGAGATAGAAAGGGAGAAAATAAACGAGTGGAAAGTTAAAAAAAAAAAAAAAA